ACGGATGGACCCCAAGCAGATTGCTGTGACCTTCCAGGCCTGGTCGTGGAAGACTTATCGGTGCCAGAAGCAATCGACGATTGGGAGGAAGGAGGAGGGGGAGGGAAGGTCATCTAGGAGACGCGATCATTTGATCTGAAGGCGACGACAAATTTTTATTCGTGACGACAGTCGACGGAAGTTTGCAACCTAATTATGACGCTGTATTATATTTAATTGCAATAAGGGTGAATCTTGCGGTGGCAGAGCCGAAATAGGATGGCAATGAGGATGAATGTTGCTTCGTGGCACAGGTTGGAAGTTCCGAGTTAATGACGGACAGAGAAAGAGAGGTTGAGTGGACGGCAGGTGGAGATGATGCCTGAGGCTGACGGCACTAGCTCGGATTGGTACTTAGTTTCTACCTCAGGCTACAGGGCCCGAAGGCTGTCTTAGTACTAGGGCTATAAACAATGATGCCCAAGAGGACTACCTAACGGAAGCAACCAGAGAATTGAGCCCCCTTGAAGTTCTGTATGTGATTGAGAAATAAGGATTATTTTTTACGTAGCACCACTCTATACAAAGCTTACTGTTCCACATTTTTCGCTGTCAAATGTCGCCGGCCTTCTCGATTTTGCTGTATTCACGTGATCCAATGTTCGTAGATTAGGTAATATATTAATCATCATACAGATCGCTGCCTGTCTCAACATCTACGAGTAGTGACTTTGGACTACATGTACTCACTGGGTAGGATTATGCGATCAGAAGAGGGAATGGTGCAGGGTTCACCCCACTACACCAGGAAAGTATCAGTTGGAGATACTGTTATTGCGAATGATAAGATAGGATTTGTTCCTAGCCCTTGTTACTTGTAGGAATCACTGCAGTATTTTGCTTACGCCCTCTGGAGCAGATTCTTGGAGTATTGATTATTTCGATGAGCTGGATCTATGCATCATTAGGATATATTGGGTACAACTCATTTATTCTTTAATTCTACCCTATCAACATAGTACAATGTAACCTGGAATAGAGCTCTAAATTCTTGATCCAACTAGAAGGACTCAAAGACTCTCTAGAGATAATTAACCTCACTTATGAAGGCGGTTTATGGTGGCCCTTACTTGCTACGGTCCGTGCATGACCAGGCTCTGCTTAGGCGATTGACTGTCGGGAACCATTTCCAGGTGACAGAGATATTAGCGTCCAAGGGCCGGCGATGACTCCATCTATTACGATTGAAATTGCTGAAGACCTGTAGAGCATAGGTGCGAAGCAAACATCATATCTAGCTCTGGAGACGAGAATTGCCTTTATATAACGTTTCTTCCTCCTTGATCTAAAGCCAACCCCTATACTCGGGCGTAGGGCATTCCGATACATTTACTATTGAAGGGATAGACAATCATTAATCTGGTAGGCGGGAGTGATGGGGACTTCGAACCTCCTAAGTTCCCTATAAACTTGCCTTTTTTGAAATGCATTCGGCTCGTGGGCAGTATATTAGACGTAGATAGGAAAACCGACGAGTACAAAGAGGTAGATTATGGAGATATCAGTTCTGTATTAGTCAAGAGTTTTAATTTTTCTGTCCGTTTCTTTCCTTTTTTTTTTTTTTTAAGAAAAAGAGATATAAATACAACACCTAACTGATACAGTATGCTGATTTGACTGCAGACTTTGAAGTTTAAGCAAAATACATGGGAAGCTTCCACCACAACTTGTAACACATGCGGACATGACTGCTTGTGTCTTCATCAACTTGGTGTTTATCAAACTCTGTCTGTAGACAGGCTGTCGTTGACAGGGATGACCCTCAACCCTTTGGAATCCTTTTTGGGCAGAGAAAACAGGAAACCACGCACTGGGGTCACATCGCTTTCATCTGTTTCATACAAAAGGAGCCTTGGAGCTCCTGGGCAGAACAAGTGCGCGGTAGTTTGGTAAAGGAGCAAATATGCAAGCCTAGTGTTACTGGGATTAAGAAGGTTCATTCTTTTGTGGAGCGTTTGGAGGGTGACTTACTGTACCTCGATACAGGACCTCGACCCCTTTCCAAAGGGCACAAAATAGCGGCTCATGAGTGAGAGCTTCTCTGGCTCTGTGTGCGCGCTAGACCATCGCAATGGTTCGAATCTGTTGGGATCGGGAAATACATCCGGATCCATATGCATCCAATGTGAGGTCATAGTCTATGTTCTATTGTAAGCGTACTATATTCCCGAACCTCCCAACCATATTTTTGGAGGTTAATTATTTCTGGGCTTTGGGTTGGGCTCAGAACTGGAGTGGTTTTCGTTCAGGGAGTAGCGGTATAATCGTAGGAAAACTTACGCCTTTAGGAATGGTATATGTATCAAATTCTAGGTCCACATCGGGCGACACACGCGGCAAACGAATCAGGGACCCAACTGACAACCTGCACAATACGCAGTTAGCTCACTCTAGGAGACCTACATTCATTAACTGACCTTAACCCTTCCTTGATACATGCAGATAGGTGAGGCAGACTTTCCAGTTCAGACAACGGGGGTAGTTTTTCTGGATACTTCGAAAATAGCGGCTCCAGTTCTCTTTTCAGTTTTTCCTGCTCATCCGTTTGACGTAGAAGACAGTAAACCGTCATTGCCAGGGATTGTGAGACACTGTGAACGGCACCTTGTTGGATTAACTAGGAGAATCAGGATCAGGTCACTTCATGAACATGATATTTTGTCAGCTGAAATACCTGTACACAACGAGTAAACGTTTTTTCATGCATAGTATAGAACAAGTTGTCCTTGAAGAGGCTATCAATACTGTGACATTGGATCGGTCGTTGGATACAATTGTGGGCCGTGATTTGGACTCGAGCGTCTGCCGGCGAGATTTCTATACTCGTAGTATACCGAAGTGAGAAGAGTCCATTGATTACCGAAGGAGAGGAAGCTCTCACATCATCAAAGATTCGCCAGGGAGTCGTTCGTTCCAGTATGTATCTAGCCACCGGGGTGCTGAAGACCCTTTGGGTCTTTTAGCATTGATCATAGCAACTGTAAATAATGGCTGTGTGGCAGACCTTGCAAGACAGGGCAATTGAGCGAACAAGGGGATAGTCGCTGTGCCCATCCTTAAGGTGTTATACCTACCAGTATCAGCAGTTGTTTCGACACAATACACACCAACCGGTATTGAAATCTGGGTCTCCCAGGTAGTCCGTTGAGTCTTCGTGGAATATAACTGATATCGCATCTGTTATCCACCTGTTAATCATCTATCTCATGACCATAGATACTATACATGCTAGCTGTAAGGGAACTGAAGGCACTGGGAAGATTGACAGGCTTTCCGGTGCTCAGCGACTCATCCATCCTCTGCGATAGCACCAGTATACGTGCCACAATCCTGGATTCTAGCTGGCTAACTCCCGCTCTCGTGAAGAGGCAGCTAAACTGCCTACGCAAAGCTCGATGCTTGTCATGCGAGAGAAGGGGGAAAATGACATCTATTCTTGGGCTCAGCCACAGTCGTTAATACTTTTAGTTCAAGAAAATGCGCTACCTTCAAAACCAGTGCCTTGACTAAATCGATTGTACGCATTGGATTTCCTCACAGCTCCTGTCACGTACAGTTTGCTGTAGAAATTCGGATCTCTTATGTGCAGTTCACTCGGAGTAATTCGCACAATGGGCCCTGCAGTCGTACTAAGTTATCTATAAGTTGCTAGGCAATGGAAACGAATTACCGTATTTTTATGCATTTCCTCGATTTGAAGATAAAAATATTGGCCATCTTTGACCCAATCATAGTACCACTGGGTTAGGTATGTCAATCGGGCTAGAGGCGGACCGGGAAAGGCAACAATTGGACTCAAGAAAAACCGGTACAATGCAAGGATAGAAACATATGCTGCGGAGATAGCCACAGCAGTGAGGGTGATATAAAAACCGGGTGCGGTAGAGATGGGCGTCTTGTCCAGCAAAGCGTTCATTTTATAGGATCATAAATGGTTTAGAATAGACTACTGAATGGTTTGGCGTAGGAGCAGTATATATATAGCACCTCTACAGTGTACGCCGACAGATGTAACAGCCAATATAATTAGAATTTCTCGCATGTGCAAGGACTCCTGAATTGTACTCCAAAGCACCTCAGAAATGAGACGAAAGTGGCCTTTCACTGGTGAGATAGTCTTCTGATTGGCCAAAACCCTCACGACTACTAGTAGTACCTTTATTCTATTTATCCATGGACCATGTGGAATGCGGATAATTGATCCATCCAATATTTAAAGGAGGTAGTACTGTTCTAGAAAAGATAAAGTTTCTTAAGTTTTAACCCTAATTTATAACCACGTGACTTGATCTAGATACATAGGTAACTAAGGATAATGTTAGATGAAAGTTTTTAACCTTGTCTTATCAGAATTTATATAGGCCACTAGAATCATTGATAAGATTTTTGTATTTTCGGCCTTTATATGAGTTTATATAGGAAATTAATTTGGTCCCGGCGACCTTATATCAGAAAGAGCCTTTGGAGATCGTTTACTGAGTCTGCATGGCACTACGTGCTACTAGTAGTACGGTACTAGCTTTCCTAGCGTTCAACCACGTGTCTCTAGACCATGTCTCATATAAACAGATGTCAGTCTTCCACATGTTGGGTTTATGAAAATAAGTTCTGGTAGCTTTGTTTTGGCGCTACTAAATGCACGAGTACGCCGTCGTACAGATGGCGTAGAACTTCAAGACCGTCATCATTGTCGATCTAAACGAGACTTGACGGGTGCAGAGTGTTGTAACGAGAAACTTATTAATTGGTGACATTGATCCGCTGCTAGCTGCACTGTCGCCAGCGGAAAGTGCCATCCCCACAACGCCCCTGTCGGAAGGGAACGAGATCAAAAATAAGAGCAAACGTTGTAGTAAGCAACTATATAATCATTAAACGGCTGTCACTAGATACAAGGTGGGATCAATTGATTCAAGACAGACAGAGGATCATGAGCCGCCATAACCCCTCACAGCTTGCGGTTAAGATCGATGAGCATTGACCAGCAACCAGCTAGAGGCCTTCTCTATCAGATTTTGGACATCCGTAGGAATAGTGACAGCAACAGCTGCCAGACCCAAAATACCCCCATGGAGAGCATCTGGCCGCGGCTTCTGCGCCTTTTTCCGTTCTTCAGTAAATCGAAGTCAGACCAGGACGGGGAAATCGTACGAAGCCAATACTTGTACATAGGATCGGGGTAAATGAAGGTATTCTTCCTGGTGACTGGATCCATCCACCAGCTTTGGCAGCCGCTATTGAACACAAGATGGTTCAACTTGTCATGGACCCAAGATAGGTCTCGTTGTTGCGCTTCAGGTTTGACCATAATCGAGTCGGCCTTGCCTTTCAGAACTGGCCGAACAAGACGGCACGAGTAGTTAATTTGACATTCCGAGTGGAAAATAACCGAATGTTGACCAGTTGCAGCATTCGGACCGTACAAGATGAAGAAATTGGGAAACCCGCTCACCACGGTGCCTTTGTACGCCTCGGCGCCGCCGGTAGCATCCCAGACTTGGTGTAGATCCGTACCGTTAATTCCATTAATCTGCATGGGAAATAGCCACTTCTGAGCTTGGAAGCCCGTTGCGTAGATGATTGCATCGGCTGCATGACGGTCACCACTTTTAGTCTCCACATAGTCCGAGCCTACCTTCACCACAGAATTATCGGTCAGAAGCATCTGTGGAGAGTGTAAACAAGCCATGTAGGAAGCGGTATTGACTCGGCGTTTGCACCCAGGCTCGTATCTTGGCTTGAGGATTTTGTGGTATTGGGGCGGCGCGTCGCTTTCAATGAACGAGTAGGTAGCATCCCGGATCTTTTGGCGCATAGCAGCGCCATTGCTGTTCATGTAGAACGAATAAAAGACTCTTTCTAGTTGCCATGCGAGAATGATACGGTAGACGTTCGCTGCGAAGGGAACATGCTTCAGGACAAGTTTGAAGCCTTCCGAGTATTGTGGATTACCCTGCAGTGAACGGCTTAGTGATGCAACTTCCAATAAATCTATGACAGGTTGAAAGAAAATAACTAACCCGCCTGGTCCACCAGTGGGCACTCCGTACAAACTGCGTTACCGTGCCCTGGGGCCCAACATCCTTGACTAGCTCGGGAACAAATTGAGTAGCGGAGGCTCCATTACCAAGGACTATAATCTTCTTTCCCGCAGGGTTAAAGGAGTCGTTCCACCTTGCACTATGAAAGACCTCCCCCTGGAACGACTCCGACCCGTTGATATCAGGAACGTAAGGCCGGTCAAGCGTCCCAATAGCGCTGACCACGACAGGGGCCTCTTTCTTGGAGATTTCTCCAGAGATCGTGTCTTGGAAGGTACAAGTCCATAGGGAGCGTGAATTATCCCAAACTAGACTGACACACATGGCGTTGAACCGACAGTGGGGGAGTATGTCGTACTTTTCGGCAACAGAGAAGAAGTCTTGGCACCATCAACCATGTGTCCTGGAGTCTAACGAAGATTGGGGTACTTACACTGATGGAGCTCATCACGACCAGGAAACATCGTTGTCCAGTCATGTTTTAGTGCAAAGCTGTAAGAATAAAAATGGCTAGGGATATCGCAGGCACATCCAGGGTAGCGATTGTGCCACCATGTTCCGCCAATATTGTCGGATTTCTCGTAGATGGTGAAGTTATCATGGCCCAGCAGTCGTTTCAGCTGGATGGCCATTCCCAAGCCGGATATGCCAGCTCCAATGATGATGACTTCCTTACTTTGAACCATTCTTCAAAGGGTGCGTACCTAGCGGAGGAACTTATGGACTGTTTAAGCCAGAGGCGATTCGAGCACCCTGAGACTGTATTTAAGTGCTCTGTCAAATTATTGAAATATGCAGGCATGTTAGTTGATCTAGAGTAGAATCGCAGCTTGCACATAGTCGTCGCTCTGTATAGTTGCTGGTATACATCGGTTCCAATTGCTTGGCGGCGCTTGCAGTTGCCGTTTCCTTTCCCCACAAATTGGTACTAGCATAAATTTATGTGACTGGTCCTGCTTCTGGGGGAGTCTCCACATTGCCATCGATTTCCACCACTACGATTAAATCCTCTTCCCCATCGCGCGCTTCGATCGGCAATAGCTTCGCTTCTGATCTACACTTTTTGTGACTTACTCATGGATGATGGAGAGAATCGAGTGTCTCCATCCCCCTTTGGACGTCTAAGGAAGCGCAAGCTGCGCAACCCCAGTCGTCAAACGCCTTTTCTTTCTCGCGAAACTATTGTTTCAGGACCTTGCTAGAAGCCTGCATGGAATATGGAAGCGCAGGACAGTGATGCAGCCGCGAGCCCGACTAAGATTCGGTGGAAACGGACAAGGTCGGGATGGTAAGCGACCAAAGCGAAGCCCCATTTAATGAGTGGCTGCAGCTGACAGTTTTCCAGCCTGAAATGCCGTAGCCGTCGCCGGAAGTGTAAGAATACCATGGTATATGGATGGAGTTGCCTATTCACTCACGTATGCCATTGCAGGCGATGGAGCCCGTCCACAATGTAGGAACTGCCAGACTCGGGGGACAACTTGTCGATGGGGACTCAAGGCTTCTTTTCACCATTCGCGCAACCTCAGCTTATCCCATAGTGAAGTTTCTTCCTTATGCGCTATTGAGAGGCGCCGGGAATCTTTGCCGTCTCAGGCACAAGCCGTTCCGACGGTACATTATGCCACTTAGTGATGAAGCGTTAGTGCGTATACTGACATGTCGCTCTAGATAATCGATGAGTCAGAGTCAATTGCTCGTGACTACCATTTCCTTGGCGACACTTACACTTCAGATGCTATTCTAGACCAATCGCATGAGGTGGACAGATCGGGGGTGGATGAGGACGAGAATGAGGATGTGTTTGATGATAAATCTGTCGTAGAGGATGCCACAGCGTTGAAAAGAGCTGGCTGTGGCTCTGAAGGCGAATTGAGTACGCTGGATACATCCTATCTTCATCCACAGGAATCTTCTACGCCTCGTGCTTCAGGAACCAACGATGAGTTAAGTACCGGAGACCTCAGCATCAGTAATCTGCTATGTCAGCCCAACACACAAATCACGCAGTCACTTCAGCCTGCGCTCCTTGAATATGTATTCTCTCCATTATCCGATGTCCATCACTATCGGCCCCATGGCTTAGCTACACATGAGGCTGGGGCGTATATTCCGCCGTTCTCGCTTGGACTGGCGGTTTCCCAGGACGAGTCGCCGCTGCCCGAGCCATTTTTGCCTGTAACTTGCACGGAAAAGGCTCGTTTGATTTCTTCATTCATACAAGAGACTGGAACGTGGTGTGAGACAACCGACTCCAATATGCATTTCACAATGCGATCCCTGCATTCGATGATGAAGTCCACGGCTTTTGTAGCAGCTGCTATGTCTCTCGCCTCCCGCCAACTAGACTACGTCGAGAAAGTGCAGCGGCCAGTCACCCTAGAGCTATATCAATATACGATACAACACCTTCTCCGGCAAGACCCCGCAAAGGCGGAGGCGTCGGTTCTCGCAACCTGCACTCTGCTGTGCGTTTACGAAATGATGGCGTCCGACGTCCATGAGTGGCGGCGGCATTTGAAGGTCTGTTGGTGCTGCCGTTCGCTGCTCTCGCGTATATATTCTTATTACTTCTACAGGGATGTGCTGGCCTTCTTCTGGCAAAGAAGTGGAATGGCTCGAGCCAGGGAATTGTAAAATCCTGTTTTTGGGCGTTTGCCCGAATCGGTACGAATTTACAGAGGCCCAATTCATGGCAATGGCTAATTACTTTGGTACAGATGTATGGGCGGCTTTTATTAGCGGTAAGACGACACTGATCCCAGCTGACTTCTGGTTGGATGATGCATCCATCGAGTCCTTGGCCACGAAGAGAGAAGTGGATGACTACTGTAATTTTGCCATCTTTATATTTGCTCAGATTGTCAATATGTTAGCCGCACCCGGGTTTGGCGCAAGAAAAGCCGGGTCTACACTTGCTGTCTTGGTCTCTAGACTGTGGGGGGAGCTCCAGAAATGGTACCGGCTCCGCCCCCAGGAGGTGTGCCCATTACTGAGGGACTCTTGTCTTCCTCCCAGGGTGTTCCCGGCTGTGATATACACAAGTGCCTCGGCTAGTAAGTTGCTTACTTCCTGCGTATATAGTTCTATTCTGAACCTTCCTAGTTTGCGGCAATACCTTTTACCATACCGGATCCATGCTACTCTTACAAACTGGCCTCATTCCAGAATCGGAGATTTCGTCTTCCCCCGTTAAGGATGCTGTAGGTGTTCCTTGTCACTTGACATCACCCTATATTTGGACCGTAGATGAGCTATAAGAAGTCAATTGAAGTCTCCAGGCTAACCAGCTTTAAGATTGATGTTGTTTGGCATGCGAGGGAACTCTGTGGCATATCTATGTCAAACCCATCTCAGTAGGTTTCAAAGGAGACCCATTTAACTCACCATTCCGAAAGGGATAACAGAGAGGTAACATGGAACTTTGACTGATACATTTAGTGCGAACTGGGTCAACCAGCTTCAACCACTTTATATTGCAGGAGCAGTATTCGCCAGCAAGTCTTCATCCTTATCGGCTTGTCCAGGCTCTTCAGACGATCAAGTGCACTCCCCCCTGTCATCAATACTTAATATCATAAGACGAAATATACCCTCTCATCACGCTCGCTCCACCATGGAGGAAGAATATGCCACGGAGAAGATAATTTTGCTCAAACATCTGGCTCGAATTGAGAATGAAACAGGCTGGAAGACTTCGGATCGAGCGGCCGATCTTAGGAAGCTTTGGGGTTTCTAATTAGGGAAACAGCAATACATTTTGAAGATAGCCAGTTGGTGACGCAGCTCAATGAACATTTTATGCATTACCCTGTCTGGAGAGGAACACCATTTCTTATATCACATGGGGACCGTGCAGCCCGCGTAACCCTTCACTACCTTTTCTACTGCCGAATATATGCCTGCATAACGACAGGGGAGGAAAAGAATGAACGGAGATCTTGTACGAACAGATCCGGCCTCTCGAGGGACGAAAAGTGACCCCCTCGATCATACTCCCGCCAGTAATGGATGTTGGCAGCCTGGGCGGCCCAGTCGCGAGGACACTTGGATTCATGAGTACACACTCTTCCGTTTACTGGACGCACGTCATGGAATATTTGACTTACATGGAGCTGCTCTTTCTTATACATACTGACTCCACAAGGCGCCGAAACATACGTCTCAAAAGTCTTCTCAGCCTCACGCATACCACGGCCGAACGCTTCCCTGTAAAACCGCAGACCGGGAGTGGCGCCCTGAATCCAATGCATCATCACCAACGTGATGAGATCTGTATCATTCAAGGCATCATGCACGTCGCCCCAATCGTGAAACTTCTCCACAAACCACGCGAGTAGTCCGAGGGGAGAATCCCCCAACGCGAACCCTAATGTCTGCGGCCGGGTCTTCTGCTCCTCAAGGTACCCACTCTGATCCTGCTCGAAGTTCCGGCGCACCCGCAGCGACTCGTGCTCGAACTCCGAGTACGTCAGCGCTGACAAACACCAGCGTAGATAGGCACATGGTGCCGACCACAACGTAGGAGGAGGCACTGGAAACATGTTCAAATGCTGGGCGCGCACAACCTGGGGGTGCTGGATGGCGATGGAACGTGTGATGAAGGACCCGAAGTCGCCGCCTTGGGTCACGAACTTTGGGTATTCCAGAACGTCGGTCATTAGGATCTTGTACGCGCGCGCAACCACGTTGGGACCGACGCCGGACTTGGAGGGCGCGGGCGAAAACCCGAACCCGGGGATTGATGGGGCCACGAAGTGGAAGGCCGGGTCTTTTGCGCCCTCGGGCTCAGTCAGGGGGCGCACAACGCGCACCGCTTCCACAAAGGAGCCGGGCCAGCCGTGGGAGAATAGCAACGGGATAGCATTTGGCCTGGCAGACTTGGTGTGGGTGAAGTGCAACACCAGGGGCCCGTAGCCGGGGACGTCAATCTTGACTAGGAAATGGTTGAAGATAGCATTCAGGTGGAGCTGTTGTTCTAGATTAGTGACTGTGTGCTAGCTTGTCACACAGGGGGAAGCTCAACGCACCTCTTCGGCCTCCCAGTCATAGTGGTCCTTCCAGAACTCTGCTAACTGTTTTACGCGCGAAACCTTGGCTCCTTGAGCCCAGTTGTTCTCGCCAAAATCGGTCTGTTCTTCGGGGTATCGGGAGAGAGCTAGCTTCTGCTTGGTCAAATGGAGCAATCCCCGGTCTACGTGTAGCGTATATGGCACCGGTGTGTTAAATTTGAGGTCTTTCAGCGGAATCGGGGATTTAAATCCCATTTTTTGTCGTGTGTTGTTGTACG